ACGAAATCTACTTATAAATTTAAAAAAACTTATTTAACTTTACCATACCGCCAGATGACAAAATACTCATCCGTTTATCTAACCAACAATTTTGGGATTTGTATTGCCTCTTCCAACTTGGCCACATAGGACAGCTAAGCAAGAACCCATTGCAAGCCACTGTGTCTATTCATAAAACTTGCAGTCAAAGGTAAAATAAGTACTACTTATAGGTAGATGAAGAAGTCTCAGGATGGAGGATCTACTCAGTCTTATTCTTTTTCTAATTTCTGGATGCTTCTCCAGCGTGGACATTAGGGTCTGAATGGCTCCCTGAACAGAAATATTTGTGTATATAGACGTAACACTACGATTTACTAACCTTTGTTCCTCAGAAATTATCTGATGATGAATTAATTAAACACATTTATAAATTTTTTTACAGAATTAATCCACAAATGGTATAGATCATGCATCCTTTATTAGTTACAATAAATCTAAGATGAACACGCCCCTCCTTAAGCACCTTGGGAAGGATCCTGGAGTATTGAGTTCATTATCTACATCCCCATTTCACCATTACTTGCGCATACTTTAACGTTGTTTGGAGTGCTCCTATTGGATCTTTTATTAAAGATTTGGATGTATCAATGCCATAAAAATGAACCAACATTTTTCCTAAACAGCCTGACTACCACCGCTCCACCTGTGTCGGCTTTCATAACAATCATATTATTGCGACATAAATATGTGGAAACTCTGATCGAAAAGCAAGATTTTTTCTGTGTAATAATCTGGTCTTGATTTAGTATTTGATTGAGGCTTGTGCAAGAATTTGTTCCAAAAATAATGATGTCTGTCATTAGATGGACGATAGCTTAGCATCTCATGCATGCTGATTAAAACAGAGGGTTGCCTAACGGTGCAAAATGCTGCACAAAATTGTGTGAATTATCTAGTCTTGTTTTACTTCTTTACAAAATAATGTTGAATTCCACTACATTATTCTAGACCTCTCTTCCAAGAAGGTCCTGATCAACACCAGACTTGTTCGAATTGCTTCAGTTCCCTAGGCCTCTGGCTTTCAATTGAACTTTTGGAAATTTGGGTACATTGCCAGTATCTCATCCCCAGTGCATATGAATTAACATATTATTGGGTCCATAGGATCCGTGCAGCTTAGCTTAAGGAGTATGGAAACTTGACGACCGCGAACTCGGCTCATTGCAACTCTTACAAATAGACAGACACACATGCACGCACAAGTGAACAAACTTCTATCACCTCCGAGGGATGCCGCGAGCATTTCGCTTCTTCTGAGTTGCTCGTCTTCTCTGTGCATCCTCTGTGTCGTCTATCCCCGAAGGGAGCCGACTTGCTGCCTCCGGAACTCGAGTCTCCGATCTTTATTCGTCCCGTAGAATTGATCTCTCGCGTCTCGGCACCGGCAGCCTCATCTGCCTCGAGCCATTCCGACTGGGTCCGCCTTGAAGCGTGTACCATGTTTGTGACCTGTTCATAAACTCCCAGCCTATCTTCCACTTCCTCTGGATCGTCGTCCTCTGCTTCTGCCAGCATCAAATGGCCTGGTCCCAGAATAAGTTCATCTCTGGCGTCAGGCAAGGCGTGGTCTTGGCAACCGTTCTCCGGACAGGCGTCGATTGGTGGGGAAGAATCGGTGAAATTGGGCGGTTTCCGCAAAGTCTGAATCCAGGAGACCATAGGCGACCTCTTCGGCAGCCAGATCGGCAACTGGTCGGGCGTTGATGATGCACATGAGACCGCTGACGACACATGGTTGCTGTGACACGGCAAAGAAGGTACAGCAAGTGTAGAGCAGTGGCGCAGAAGTGTCGCCTGGTGCTGATCATATCGGTCGACGGGCAACTGAGGCTTGACGCTGGCTCGGGCAAGCCAATCGCCGTCATCGCCCGGCTCCGGCAGCAGAGGCAGTCTCCGCGAGGATTCGGGCCAGGGGTTGGCCTTTTCGGTGCCGTTGTAGACAATGGCAAAGGAGACCGAGTCGGGCCGCTGGCGCTGGCGGTACTGGCAGGGCCAGTCCGCTGTCCCAAATTGCCCCTTCACTGCGGAATGCGTCGAGAGGCTGCCCACGCTCGAGTCATCTCGTCTCATCCGTCTAGTCTGTACCACTTCGAGGCTTCAAGGTCGCGCCGACGACCGGGCCCAGGTGAAGAGGCACTGGGTCCAGTGGTTCGAGGACTCGGTCACTCTGCCTTCGTGCACTCACATGAACACGTCCGACGCACGATCTGGCGTCCACGAGGCAAGAAGCCAACTATACCGGTTCCTATGGCTGTGTGAACTGACTGGCATTCAATGTGATGAGCTAGGAAATAGGCCTGATTCGAGCCACTTCTCATCTCCGACTCCCTACACACATGTATGATTGTGTGTGCATATATATATATATATATATATATATATATATATATATAT